GGTTTAATCGTTCCAAACAGTAAAGTCCATTGGGTTATTTAACAGATTTTAGAAAGTCCAAGGGTTTATTTGTTCCAAAAAATTATCCAATGGTTTAATCGTTCCAAACAGTAAAATCCATTGGGTTTTTTTGAACTTTTCCCAATAATATTAGTAATATATTTAAATATTATTCTTGTAAACGGTAATTCTATTTTAAAATTGATTTTTTTTTGTCTGGTTGGATGATTCTTATTTCAAAAATCAAAATCTTAAAATAAAATTACGTTTAATTTCAAGAAATATTTTATTTTAATAATATTAATATTAATTATATTATTAAAACTATAAGGGTATTCGCGCAATGCATCGAGACACATTTTGATTTCAATGTTTTATTTTATTCTTTTTTTATGTTAATATAATACGGTTTTATGTGGTTTTGAGAAAGCGATAATGTTTTTATTTTTGAATAAAATATAAATTTGAAAATATCATAAAATTTTGAAGAAAAAAAATATACATCGATATCGGTATCAAATTAATCTTTTTAAAAGTTCATGTGTTTTGGTGTAATTTTCTTAATTCAATTTTTTTAATTAAATTTAATTTAGATTTACTAACAAAGAAATTTAATTTAGGTTAATAATATAATTTTTTATAAAGATAATAACTAAGTATTCTGTTAGAACTCAATAATTATCCTAATTATATTTTAGATTTTTTATATTTTAAATGAGATGTTTAACCAATATTTGATTGTGTTTATCTGCAGTTAGTTACATGAATTCAAATATGAATCTTTAATAAGTTATATTTATGCACAATTTACTTGTAATCTTAAATTTTAAGTAATATGCATCAATAAACAGTACTTCGTACATGAAAAAAGGTCTTTAAGAGTTTTTATGAAATGTTTTATAATATAGTATAGATATTTTATAAATTAAACATCTTATTTTTTTTTTAAATTATAATTATTCAATGTTAATGGTGGAAATAATTAAAATTATATACATTTTTTCCATCTGCAACGCGATATATCTCGACTTGTTTGAAAAACCTTCAATCGACAAGTCATTTTGTTTGACATCTTGTGGCCCCCAAAATTGTAATTCTACCTTCGAACTCACATGGAATCATCTTGGAATAGCCATCATCGGAGTCGTATCCTAAACCCACATCAGACGGATCCCTCATCGTATCATGTTCTCTAATGTGGTTTGATCGACATCTCATATTAGAGTTTTCCCAAGTTTACCATGACGATGATGAACAGACTTAAATCAGGGTTCTTATAATCAGTTTTGTATCACATTTTTTGAATGAAGTTGTATAAATTTGCTTATGTTCATGTTCTTAAGATATTTGTTTTGTGTTTAATTCAAGGTCTTATTTTACACGAGCTCTTTACATTTTGTGTTTGGATTTCGTCACGGTGGTTGGGTGGTCGTATTGAGGGTGGTTGTTAAAAAAGTAATTATGAAAATCGGGTCCCTATAAATTTAATTTTAACTTATTTATAGAAATTAAGAAAAGAGAAAAAAAAAGACTAAATTGCCATTATATAAGGGGCAAATCCTTCCATTTAGGTTGCGTTTGATACATGGGATAGGATATGATGAGACAATAAACTCATTGTCTCATGTTTGACGCGATATGGGACAGGACAGGAACTCACTGTCCCACGTTTGTGCGACATGGGACGGGACAGGACAAGAACTACGACAAGGTGGGACAGCGTGAGACAAAAAAAAGTTTTTTATTGTTCCATCAAAATAGGTGGAACAAGATGGGACAAGAATGAGACAGAAACTAAAATATTACTAACCCACCCTTGTTTGATATATAACCTTAACATGGTATCTGTTTTAGTGGTCACCACCACTAGTCACATCATCGGCCACCAACCAACACCGTTCATCGCCACCACCATAGGCCACCTCACCTCCACCACCGACTACCACTGCCCACTACCACTATCCACCATATTCATGTCCTCTACAACCACAATCGTCCATTCCACCACCACCACTAGTATCATCGGCGGCCACCACCTCCACCATAACCTCCACCACTGCCCGCCATCACACCTAACTCCACTACATAGGCCACAACTACCTCATCCACCACTGTCGACCGCCACTACCACCATTATACACCATCTTGACGTCCTTCACAACCAATGCTTTTACCTCCACAACTATTGTTATTGCAAAAAATCAATATCGTACCTTCACCCATTGATAAAGATTTTTCAAACTGAATGAAACATAATTTCCCCATTGTATGAATCGGGTCTTATCAAAATACCATAAATTATATAAAAGATTTCGTTCAAATTTGGTACTATTTTATATTTATGTATATGAAAATTGTGTAAAAAATATCTATAACTTAAATAATTTACTTTATATGTGTTAAATGTAACTATTTTATGATATATAAAATCATAAAATAATTTTTGAGGGCAATTTATCTAGTTATGTATTCTCCAGTCCTAGTCATACCAAACACCAAAGAGACACTTGTTCTATCCACTTCAGTCTTGTCCAATCATGTCATGTCCAGTCCCTGCCCTATTCAGTCCTATCTAATCATTTCTACGTACCAAACGCTACCTTACTCATCAAACATGAACGAGGTTAGTCAAATGAATCAATTTAATAGTAAATTAAGATTTGTTATGATTAGCTATGTAGTTAAATCGTTCTAGAAATTTAGGAGTCGTTTATCAAATGACTATTTGGTATTGGGTGTCATTTATCTTATCAAATGGTGTATGACGAGTATTGCAAATCTTATTCAGTAAAAGCATAGCAGGTACCGAAAATCTTACCGGATAAAACATATTTATCAACAATCTATTTTGATGGCTGAAAATGTAACTCAATAAGCTAAGTAAAGATGGTAACTTTTGCCGACAAACGCTGACCCTGTAAGCTTTTGAAAAACAACCCCTTAATTCATAATTTTGAATAAACCATTGGGATCAAATATGTAATTCATCATTCATTTATCTAATTTAATATTAAACTGTCATTATAAATACAAAAATTTATGTTAATGTTATTATTTTTAACTTTACAACTTTTTAAACCCTAATACAAGATGAAATGGTGATTACTATTTTTGGTAAATTTATAATGATAATTATATTAGGATCATTTACCAAACGCTTACTCGAGTAAGTGAACATCAATTCACATTACCTTACCGGATGAATATGGTAAGGACCAAAAATCTTACCCAGTAAGTAAGGGAGACGACTTTTACCAAGGTAAGAGCTTACCGGGTAAATTGTTGCATATGATACTGTTTTGGTGGACAAAAATCTTACCCAATAAGTAAATGACGGTGTTAAATTTTTTACCAGTAAGCGCTTACCCAGTAAGTGTTTACTAAATAACCCCTTAGTTATTTACCTTTTTTTATTAAAATCATGTAACTAATACAAACAATTTCATCAAAACCTTGAAAAAGAAAAAAAAAACGATAAGTTTGTTAGTACATTTGATGGTTTCGTTTATTTTTTACTCTAAGCCAATATCAACGTCTCTAACTTTAACATACTTCATTTTTTATCATTAAATAAATACGACATTTGATTTAGCGTATCATTTAATTATGGTACTGAATGATAATAACATATCAAAAACGACGGTTAAAAGGACATGTCGATCAAAATCAAGGTCACTAATATCTTATAGCAATCGAGTTGGTACCACAGAAGCCAAAACAATTTTTGTCTAGTTACATAGGATTCTCGGATGAAGGTTCTACTGATTGGTCAATTAGTTTACCGTCCGACAACGACCATTGAAAATTACGTCTGAACAAATGAATTTCAAACTCTTGGTTCTGGTTGGTTATTGCTACACCGTTGGATAAGATATTAATGGCCTTTTGTATCCCAATCCGGATCGTCTATTTTTCTTTACTTTTTCAGTACAAATAAACAAAACCTTGACGAGAAATCTCCAAATAATCGTTGGTCTTCTTCACAACAAAATACAACATATTACTTTATGGTATTGTTTTCATTTCTTGCAACATAAAGTAAACAAAACTTCATTTCAGTATGTTTATTTCCTTCGCGTCATAAAAATATGAATCAAACTTAGAAAATTAAAGAATAAACGATTGAGAGAGATATTGTTTATATCTAGGCATGTAATTTTGATGAAGGGTTAGGATGTCATTTTATTTGACACCATAAATGGTGAAAAGGTAACCACAAAAGTGGTGCCCATTAGTTTAAGTTTGGGCTCAAAGGGTCAAAAGTATCTAGATGTCTCAGGTTTGAATCCAATGAGGAATTAAAAATCCCCTTTTGACCATGGAGGTTCAAATGTGATGACTTCAGACTACCTTCAAAATAGATGATCGTCATGAGATTAATCGACTCGCATAACGGGTTGGATATCCAGGTTAATAAAAAGAATATGGTGAAAAGGTGCATATTAAATCAAATTATATTTTTAAAAACTATTAAATAACACTAATTTTAAAGTCATAAGGTAATGTTTTTAAACTAGAGTTGAAATTTTATCTTGAATTTTAAATATTAATTTTATACGTAAACATTTAATTATACAGTACAACTGTACGTCCTTATTGTCACGGACGAGTCGACGACACCCATAATTGGACCACCCTATCGTCACATACACGAACCTCTTTACTTTACCCTTCCTCTTCCCCACCTTATGAGTCGTCATAGCCAACTCCCTCCCCCCTACCGATGGTGACATCGCTCTCCTAATTGACCTAGTCAATGTCATTCCCCATGCCTTTCTTTGGATTCAAGACGATTTTCAATGTTTTGACCATCAAAATTTATGTTTTTATATGTTTTGACTAAATAATAAATACAAATGTAAATTATTTTAGATTATTTTGACCGAATTTAATGTAAATGGCAATAACTTAAAAGATAGTTTTAGCTGTTTTAGTATTTTTGTGGCTTATTAGAAATCTGATTGAAATTCAGTTACATATAATATTGTTTTCTTAAGCCTTTAATTGTGTAGCTCAGTTGGAAAATGGACGTATCGACTTTATAAAGGTACAAAACAAGTGCTTGGGTTGAACCCCACCCCCGCCCCTCGCCCTCGTGGGCTGCTTAGTCTTAGCTGTTGATTGAGCTAAAAAAATACGCCCTTACATTAATGTGATTGGAGGCGTGTTTCATGGGGGTTGGGTTAGGTTGCTGGTAATCAATTTTTTGTCCAAATAATGGTAAAACCCATGAAATTTTACATATCATTTTATCAAGAGTGAATGTTTTATAGAATACAAAGGGCTGAATGCAAATAATGAAAACAAAAGGATGCATATTGAGTTTTGTAAATGTTCAAGGGTGAAAAGTGTAACATTTATAAAATCCACACATGAGGGAGTGTTGACCGGTCAAAAGGGCATTAAAAGCCACACTTAGAAAGAAAGATTAGTTTGAATGGGACGTGCATTGACCAAATTATTTTTGACCAATTTCTCTGATCACCAATTCATCGCTTACTACCCCGAGGCTAAAATCGTAAATTCATATATTTTTAGTGAATTAATTAAATGAAATATTTATTTATTCAACAATAATAAGATTACAATTATGAGTATGACTAAAATTAATTCATAAATAATTTATTAATAATATAAAAATAAATAAATGTGAAATGGAAATATTTTCGATATTTTTAAGAAGAGTAAAGTCAAATACGATGCACTTAGACGATGCAATTAAAAATATTAAAATAATTACTGATTAATTTATTTATTCATAGTTTTGTCTTAAATTAATTATATTTTAATTTAAAAAACGATAATAAAAACACACATGAGTATCTGGAGAAATAGAGAGAAAGACCCTTAATTTGGAAATAATTACATCTAACAATTATATTACTATAAACATAAAAAATTAAAAATTAAAATTAAAAATGGATTATAATTAAACTATATTAATTAATAATTAATTATGAAGAAGAAGAAGATTCAAACTTGTAGTGTTTATCGACGGCAACCGAGACATCCCAAGTGCAACTGAGACCCTCCGGTAAGATGACAAGGTCGCCGGCACCAAACTCCGATATCATTTCCGACGAATTTTTCCGGTAGACTTTGACTTTTCCCCGGAGTAGATAACATGTCTCTTGTGCATCGAACTTCAACTGGTACTTTCCCGGCGAGCATCCCCACCTTCAAACAAACAAACACAAACATATATATACATGAAACCCTAATTACTGTTTCTTGTTTGTATCATTGTATGGTAAGTGCAACCATACATGCAGAAAGTACAACTTATGTATGTATATATATATATATATAGAGAGAGAGAGAGAGAGGGAGAGAGAGATTACTTGGGCCAAGATTTGATACCCAGTTCAGAAAGATGAGATTCAGAAGGGTTTTTGTGAACAATTATGCTTAGATTTGATGATGAAGACTCGCCTGCCATTAAACAGAATCAAGATTCTCTCTCTAAAATACACACAGAGTTTCTTGATCGATAAGAGTTTGCACACTACGTGTGTGTCTATATATATATATGTGTGTGTCTGTGTCTGTGTCTGTGTCTGTGTCTGTGTGTATATATATATATATAGAGAGAGAGAGAGAGAGGTGGGAAAGAGATGGATATATAAAGCGTAAGGAGTTAATGTCATTTTCCATAAACGGGTAAAACTTTTGCTTTCTCGGGTGTTTTTGACTGAAAAAATATTGGATCATTGAAATATTACTAGTAAACAACGTTGACTTATTCGATAAGCGGTTATCTATAAAATTTAGTATTATTATTTATTTATTAGTTAAGATTTTATTCTATTAAAATGGTATTGCATGCAATAATCTATTCGGTAATCAATCGCTAAGCGTGATAAAATTCGTCTTCGTGTTAATTTAATTCTAAATCTTACAAAAATAAATATTGTAATCATCATAACAAAATTGAGTTTATATGATATCACTAATTTCTAAACATCTCAATGAACCGCTTTATAGGACTTAATTTGTATTAAGTTGATAGAACGTTTTAACAAGTTTTTTTATAATACTTTTAATATAAAAGGTCGTAGTAGCAATTTTACGAGACATTTTTTAGAAAGTGTCCTATAAACAAAAGTGTCTTACAGACTCATATTTTATAGCCCGCTTTTTCAAATATGTTCTATAAATTTGTTAATATTAAGTTGTCTAAAAACGTCATATAAACTTATTACAACACTTTTAGATAAATGTTTTATTTTTTTGTCCTATAAATTGAGTCCTATAAAACGATCTATTAGATATTTATTCTTTTTTCGTCCTCCGATTTTGTTATAGTGAATTTTTTAAAACAACTAAAAACATTAATGTTTCTATATATTAATAAAGTTCTAGTTACCGTTTACAAAAAAATCCGAATAACCGTCAATTGGGTAAAATGTTTTGTTCTTATCAAATTAGTATCTCGATCATCCACATTTATTGGTGAAAAGATATTATTACATGATAAAAACATGAAAATACTTTTTTTATTAACTTGGACATCCAATCCACTATACGAATCGACTAATCTCAGGGCGATCACCTGTTTTGTGGGTAGCCCAGAGTCAACGTATTTGAACCTCCGTGGCCACAAATAGATTTTTATTCCTCATTGAATTTGAACTTGAGACCTTCAGATACTTTTGACATTTAGAGCTCAAATTCAAACCAATCAAGCACCATCGTTATAATTAACATGAAAATACTTGGTAAAAAGCCAATGACGTGGGATTATATCCAATTTTGCACGAGGTTTGTTGTGTTTAGAAAAAAAGGGCAAAATGGAAATGTGTAGGGTAAGAATGGGGAGCTTCTGGACTTGTAATGTTTTGTTCCCTTTGACCTATCCCATCTTTAATTGTTCCTTTCTTTGTCATTGCCACTATTGCCCCTAGTATCTCTTTGTTTTTTCATGTCACTTCTTTTAATTGTCTATAAACCATGTGCTTTTAATACCCTTTTATATATTAAAGACATTTTCATTTAACAAAAATAAACCACAAAGGGTGATGCTCAATTAGTTTGAGCTTAGACTCCAAATGTCAAAAGTGTCTGGAGGTTTCAGGTTCGAATCCAATGAAGAATAAAAATCTCCTTGTGGCCATGGAGGTTCAAATTAGGGATGGCAAAAAAAACCGAAACCGACGGTGAAAACAGAAAGCCGAAACTTTCGGGTCGGGTTCGGGAATATTTTATCGGGGACGGGACGGGGATCGGGGACGAATTCGGGGATTTTAATGGGGACGGGGACGGGGGCGGGAACGGTGATCACCGGCCCGGCCCGGCCCGATATGTGTGTTTAGATATATATTTATTTTAATTTATGTACATATATATATATATATATAATATCTTTAAAAAAAGTAACATTAAAATTTTTTAAAAAATTATTCACTTTACCTAACAACCCAAATAAAGCTCACGAAAAATCTAATTATTTGTCAAAAACTGTGATTTTAGTTGTATGATGTTCGAATTTTTGTTTAGTTTTATATTGTAATCTAATACATTGTTTGTAATTGGTTCAATTATGTTTGAGACATTTAAACTTAGATCTTTAAAAAAATTGTAATTTACTTTTAATTGTGAAAATTAACATATTGTAATTTTTTTCATATCGGTTTCGCGATCGGGTTCGGTTATAACCAATGATGAAAAAGAGAATTTTTACCCTTAACGGGTTCCCCAACGGGGATCGGGGAAACCATGGGGACCCGATAAGATCCCCGACGAGGATCGGGACGGTTACGGGGACGGTTTTAGCTATCGGTTTCGGGGACGGGAATACCAATACCCGTCCCGAACCCGGCCCGTTGCCATTCCTAGTTCAAATGCGGTGACCTCAAGTTACCCGCGAAACAGGTGGTCGTCCTGAGATTAGTCGGCTTGCATAGCCTGTTGGAAATTCAAGTTAATAAAAAAGAGTATGTTAAAATCTCTGTCTTTGTATAATTGCTATATATAATATCTGATAATATATATAAATATGTCGTTTTGGGTTTGAGTCAAAGTAACCCAAAACCGGTTTTAGGAAAGTTTGGAACCAAAACCGCAATTAAACATGGATGGTGTTGGTTTGATGATATTTCACTGATCCTAATCAAGTTTTATGTAGCCAGTAAGAGTGTGTTAAAAAACATTTATACTTTTATAAAGTTCAAATTTCACTTGACAGAAATGTTTGTTTGCCTACTCTTGTTAATATTAATTTAAGGGATTTATAAAATTAATTGAGATGTATACATACTTGTCTAAATACCTTTACTGCCGAGGCTCAAATAACAAATCTAAGCATCGTGAGAAAAAAAAGTTAAAAGAATGTTCATATGTAAAATATATTTTTAAAGATGCATATGTAAACCGATATTGTTACAAATTATTGATATGTGTACATATGCTTTTTCAAATAAAAAAATTACAATTATTTACATATGAATGTTCTTTTTCTTACCATCACACGATGTGTGGTGAAACCCAACTTCTCCCTCTCCTCTCCCTCAATCTTTGTCGTCTCCAGTAGCATGATGAGTTCTGCAAACGAACCTCGTTAATTTCATTGGAATTTGAATCTCTTCGAGATTTTATCATCCGAGCTTTCCTATGCATTGATGGTGACTTATGAGCACTCATGCCAAAGATAGTGAGGAGTGGTTGTTGCTGTTGGGGATTTCACCGAAGAAGGGAGATAGAGATGAGGGAGAGAAGCCGGAGATAGGAAACCAGTGAAGAGTTTAGGGTTGTTTAGTTAATTTAGTTTTTTTTAATTAGACGCAGTTTACACTTGTATGAAAGGGTACAACAAAATAAATAAATGAAAACGGAAAAAGACCAAAAATGTTGCTTAACGGACGAAATTAATACTAGTTAATGTAAGGGACCAAAACCAACCATTTTTACATAGCACAAGGGTTTTTTTGTAATAAATTTTCGATAGAAAACCAATCCAAGAAAAAGAAGAAACCACAGGGACCAAATTTGCAATTTAGTTTAATAAAAATCTGAATGGATAAGGGTTTTGTTGTGGTCAAAGCATTAAGAAAGCCCCCAGGCTGACATTGGACACGTGTACGAAGGTAATTAGATGGCATGTGCTATACTTTGACTAAGTCTACCATCCACTCATATCAATGTTTTCACATTCGAATATATGTATCATGATCATGTATGTATGGATCATATTCTAAAATAGCAAATCACACTACAACTCTTGAAGGGTGTTCACATTTACTCGGTGAGTGGAAAAATATTCGATGTAACATATCATAATCGGATATTTAATTGTAATTTATTTATATCAGATATAAAAGTTTAACGCTTAAATTGAAATGACAGTCTTTGAACCATCGTTCAGTGTCATACAGAGTCCTATTGATTATATATGCTTATCGATTGGTAATCATCGAGTGAATTTTTGGAGTAAAACTTAATCTCCAGACCTTTCATTTGTATATTTTATGACTGAATCCTGAGAAGCAGAGATGTTCCAATTTTTTTGGAGACTCTGCTACATCCGAAACTATTAATTACATTGCATAGATAAGATAATAGAAAATATATGTTAAGAACAAAAACGAGTTCAACCTAAAACGATTAACAATCTAAAACTAAATCTAAACCATTAATGATTTGAACCTAAAACCAAACAATTAATGGTTTGAACATAAATAATTTCGGCTATAGTTTTACACATGTCGATAAAGAACCCTAAACACATGTAAATTTTGGTCCCAAAATTTCGAGAGTCCTGTTCAAAATATCACATTTAACATGCTAAGGGACGGTCCTGTCAAGAATAATTTGGATATGTCGTATTTCGAAGGATCTTTGGCTTGTAGTGCCATTATTGATGTCCCCATTAGAGTGAGTCATAAGTCATTTTGATCATTGGTAACTTAGTGGTAAAGTTGTGGGTGGTCTTGGCTTCTGTTGTTGTTTTCGTTCCTTTGTTTGATTTAGTTCTAGTTTGTTTTGTTTTGTTTTGTGTTAGTTTGTTTCAGGGTGGTTTTGTTGCCTGCAGAACCACAAGGTATATTTCTGTACATTTTCTCTGATTTTTAACAAACTGTTTGTCTTAGAAAAACCTTTGAGTACTATCAAACTGCAACCCAATAAATAAATATATTATAGATTTCAATATCATTAAAGGACAAAAACTTAAAGTAGACAATAACAAACATTTAAAGGCAGGAATCTAAATTCCGAAACCCTAATTTTGATTATCAGGGTTCACCAAATAATACATTAAAGGTCGTGAACTAAACACTTGATTTGGTAAGTGCTTACTAATTCAATTACCTTACTGGATGAACATAACAAGAACCGAGAATCTTACATGGTAAGAGGGAATATAATGATTTTACCCGGTAAATGAGGGTGATGACTTTTATCGGTAAGCATTTACTAGGTTACAAACGCAACATCAATCCAATGTGATGGCCGAGAATATTACACATAAGGTAAATGAGAGTGATAACTCTTAATAATAAGCTCTTACCCGGTAAGTGTTTGGTAAACAACTCCTAAGTTGTTGTTT